TTCAGTCTAGTGCTACGCATAAATTGATAAAATCGTGGTACCAAAGAAGAAATCTCATTATAGAATACGTATAAAAAAGACAGAGGAAAGTCACGTCACATCAGTAGGAATGGGAATGACATCGAAATGCCACCTCAGAACTGAAAAAAGTAGTAATTCTGGAAGGACAACTTCAACCCACTCCGGGTGATGATGGTTAATCGATTAGCTTAATGCAACAAGAATGTAATAAGAATGAAATTTATGTCTCTGATTTCGCCTCAGCATTAAACATGGGCCTTCTAGTTTATTTGGTCAATGATTTATATACACTGAAAAAACAAATACAAATGCAAAAACAAACAAGCAATATTGATAGCATGGTGACATCGATTTTTACGGTCCGAGAAAAAAACATTACTTTAATAAGATGGGAAAACGAAAGTAGACAGTGACATAATTGTACCATAGCATTTATTTTATTTATGTACACGTTGTATAAAAAACGTCTAGTTAATTTCCCTTGACACGTCGGTTATTTGCTATTGTATCCTTTGATTCTAAACGGGCTGTGTTCTTCTTTTTTTCTCTTGTTAATTTATACTTTCTAATTGTTGTTTTTTATTTTTCATTCTTTTCGACAATATTGGCTTTAACTGTATTTAGCTATGTATGCTATCTTAGTAGAAAATGACACAGCTGATTTTCATGGAAAGGAAGAAAGCGATGAGTAGGATATTTCTATGCGACAAAAGTACTTTTTAATGTTAGCATATATATTTGAGTCGGCGTGTACACGATTATCGTGGGCATGCAATGAGAGCACGAATTTTTATAAAGGAGCAGATTGCATCTCACAATACACAATCTTAATCTTGATTCTGACGGCCTTGTCGATTAGCTTTCATTATTTCCGATTGAACACACACACACACACACACACACATATATATATATATATATATATATATATATATATATTCTCTCTGCATATTTTTCGACCAGTTCTATAGATAACGTAGTAAATTTGAATATTCAAACATTTGATTTTACGTATGTGTTGATATATTTGATCTAAAATATATGTCGAGACTGCATGAGTTTGTTCTACGCGTTTATAGCGAAAATAATGAGAAATTAGATTTTGTGTTAATGGAAAGAGTTTCAAGATTACCTCTCGTTGAAACAAAGTCTTTGACGATTTCTTTAGCCTCCAACCGACGATAATGCCAGTATCAGCAAGAGATGAACATGGGCGAAAGATAAGAATATCTATCATGTATTCAGTCGATTGAATTTCAAATAAGAGATAAGGTTCTGAAAATGTAAAAGCTGAAGTGAAACGAAACAATGAATATACATTTTAGAATCGAAGCCATATATTTCTTTCGCTAGAACATGCCATCAGATGTAAATTATCCGTTCTGTTTTTTTTTTCTTTTTTCTTTTAACATTTTGTGGAACCTTTCGTTTATTTTTTGGTGGCACAACTGCTAGACTGATAAATGGTCCGGAGATATTAACCCGTGTTAACTTAATGTGGAAAAAGGCACAATATAACGCCACCCACAGGTGAGATTTTCTAATACATGCTTAAGACCTGACGATTCTCAAACGCCTTTACAACACAATTAAATCTATTAAACACACTTTAAGATAATAGTACTAATAAACTGAATTTATTTTATGGATTTCTTGCCATAGAAAAGTGTAGAAACAAAACTCGTCTCAAAGAAAAATTGCAGCCATTTTGGGGATTGATCCTCTCGGGTTATTCACGTTTGCCAACTGAAATTTAGTAAATACTTCGAATAGAAAACATTTTTTGGCATTCTCTTATGGTCTTTGGTGGCTATGATTATCCAGAGGTTTCTTTTCTTTATTTTATGTCAATTTTTATACATTATTAGGAAAATAGTAACGTATTTTCGTAATGCATTTCCCACTCTTTGGAAATTAGCTTCTTTTTCTTAACTTGTACAGAATGGTTCAAACCACTGAGATCTCTAATTAGTACAAGGACGAAAAGTCATTTAACATTTAACTATCTACTTATATATTTATCTCGCTCACATTCACTTTCTCTGATACATATATATATATATATATATATATATATATATATCATACTTTTATAAAACCCAGGTTGTGTGTGTCTGTTCGTTTATATATTGGATCAGATTTCC